TTAATAAGTAACTTGTAAATAAACACGAAACACTGATGTGATTGTATTATCAAGTACATAATAAACAATTGAGAGAAAGGGAATCACAGATTATAATAATGAGGTGACGCGAAATCACTGGCATGTGCGTTCGTCATAAAATTAAACGTAACTTTATAATAAACAATGCTTTTTTATGGTTAAAAAAATCATAATGTATACAATATAAAAAAGTAATATAATTTCCTAAAATTTTAATCCATTTAAACTGGAAATAATCTTTTATTCCTATGCAAACAGAGTTGAATATTATCGTTCTACACAGCTATTACTAAACGCAATGAACGAAAGATGTATTAGTTCGTTCGCTGTGACGTAACAAGTCTTAACATCAGGATTTCATTGAGTGTCAAATTACGAATCTTGATACCTCGATCCAAACCGCGGTATCACCTGAGATCGTGTGGATATAGGTTTATTAATCAGCGTCGACATTAAGATGCTGATCGCATCTTGAGAACGTATCAACTGATGCCGGTCTTGACATCGTGATTGAGACCTATTTATTAATACGGGCCTTACTGACTAAAAGCCACCTCGTTCCTACACCTGCACTTCGAGCCGGAGCCCCGGTAATCCGTTACGTTTAACTCGGCTCCGGCTTATTAATTATAAGTTAGTAATCACCAACCCGCATTGAGCAAGCGTAGCGATTAATGCTGAAACCTTCTCCGTGTGAGAAGATGCCTTTAGTCAGCAGTGGCCACTTATAAATGGTTGATGATGAATGGTACTTAGATATTTCTGTTTGTAGACTGAATAGAAGAAATAAATAAAGTAAGTCATCCGAGTTGCTATAACACAATGGTCGGTAAAGTAATTTTAACAATAAAGCCATTGTTTCGCTTCCTTTCAAATGTAACACAAAGAAATAGACGGTACATACAACGGTTTGATGTCACGTGGGTACAAAAAATGTTTATTATTGGTACTCATGATGTTGACAATATTTTTTTACTTTTTTTCGTGTAAGTTGATGTGTATTAAGGCACCTTTGATATTATAAATAGTGACAAATTACCCTCTGAAACATCTAATTCTGTAATCTTATGTGCATATGAATTTGTTCCGCCATTTCTTCTCAGAGTAGTCAGTAAAATGTCATCGTTCATCGGCAATCAAATCTCATCGTTTCCTTGAAGAATTGACGTGTAAAAGTGCTGCATTGTAGCCTATTTGCAGAAATAAGTTCACTTGTTTCACTTGTCGCTTGTTTAACATTGTGTTCTAAATCTAACACTTACGGTCTGTTTCACAATATCAGCAGCTGTAACCAAATACCATTTAGCGCTTGTCTACATGTAGAATAGAAAACCAAATTATATGGAATTGACGTAAATTTTGACACTTTTCAGTGTCATCCCCATACATTTAGTTTTCTACTCTCTCTGTAGACAAGCGCTAAAGTGGCGTTTGGTTAAAGGTACTGGATAGCCGTTATCTACCAGATAAATTTGAATTAAGAACGTAATTTGTATGAACTATCTGTCACATAAGTTTATCAGGTACTTACTTATATGGAGGTAGTGAAACCGGCGCTAAATCTTATATCTAATATTATTTATGAAAGAAAGAGAGAAAGAAAAATTATTTATTACGCCACGACACACAACAGGAATACAGGTACACAACAAGCCCATGGTGCGTCGCAGCGCAAAAGGCTGGAGCTAAAAACAAAGCTGAAGAGTTTCTTTGTTTGTTTGAACGTAAGGAGCGCGCAGAAGTGGCTAGTTCATAATAATTAGACATAAGTATGTATGAGTATAAGTCTTGAAATATTGAAAATGGTTATCCGACTAAAAACTGGTCATAGAGAAACAGCAGTAAAGCCTGAGGACTACTCAGGACGTTATGAAAAAGCGCAATTTAAATAATAAAGTTATGTGTGCTACGGGTTTCGTAGCTCGCGTAGCGACGGCCGCCGCGTCGGCGTAGCAGAACTTCTTTTTTTTAAGGGGGAAAATCATCGAATGACTGCTCCCGCCTGGCTGAGGCGATAATATAAACTAGAATCTCAAGATTTTTACAATTGTAGACAAGACTTCATTTGATTTGAGCCCTAGTATTTTAAGTTTTTTATTTTTTTTTTCTATTACTTTCTGTTGACCTTCGCTTTCCATATTAATGTACCTCTATTATTATTTTTTGTAGTTGTTAAGTTAATATGTGTTCTGCGTAAGAATAAATTTAATGGCTTTACTTTCTTTGTTTAAATCTCCCTAACACAATGTCTATGTTCAGATGATGGTGAACAACGGTGGCTACCCGTACTACGAACACTATGGAGGGGCTCCCCTCTTCCCCACCATGAGCGTCAACGTGTCCATGAACATGACTATGCACGGATGCCCCCCGGAGCAACTGTGTTCACAGGTTCGTTGCACATTTTACTTACAAAATTATTTTGTAATATTTTTCTACAATTTAGGTTACAGTAACTTTTCGTTTAGGAATGTTGACCACATTCCTAAACGAATTCATCCTTTGTGATAAAATATTTTAAGCTAGAATTGGAAAAGCGATGGTGTTATTCGTTACACCGTGAAATCTATTTCGTGTTTGTCCCACAGCAATGTGTGGTTATGAATATCTATGTATGAAGAAGCATATAAAGTATATAGTAGAGAATGAAGTACAGGTATGTATATAGTTAGGCATTTAGGCACTTAATCTAGAGTTTTTCTTCACAGATGCAATGGAATCAGAATGCCTCAACGCCATCAGTGAACGTGGTCTATCCACAATCGCAGAACGTGATCAGCTCCTCAACCTACCCGTCAGCCACGTATTCCTTCACCGCGGACTTCCGAACACCAAACCAAAGTGATCCCCTAATAACAGCATCATCGACATTTAAACCACTACTGCAAAATCCTCAAAAACCGAATCCTAACTATGCCTTATTCCAGCAGAAACCTAATTTTTCAAACCAGAAGGGCTTAGGGCAGAGCTTAAAGAGGCCACCTTCCAAGATTTATGGGCAAGAGACGCAGAAGGAACAGAATATGGGTAATGGGTACATCTTGAATCAAGGACAGATGCATCCGCAAGAGTATGGGTATGCTGCCTGTGTTAATTCTTCTGGGAAAGTGCCGGTAAGTTGACAATTTACGGTGAAATAAAAGTTACCAAGTGTTTTTGTTATTACCAAATAAAAGTTAGTTCTTTTTATAGATACTTTCTGTAAAAAGTTTTGTCTAAATCGTCAAGGAAAATGTAAAATCTTGAAGACTATGTACAAATATGTGATTGTAATAAAATATAGGTTCTTATTCCGACAATGAGTTTATATACTGTGCCGTTACTACGCGGTATCGCTTTGATCTCTTTACACGTACAACAAACATGTACTAAGCCTTCTGAAATATTATAACTTTACAGTTCATAAAAACACTGACATAATTTTCTTTCATTTGTTTTGACTGAAAGAACAATTTAAGTAATAACGATAACTCTTTTACCAGGTGGGAGCACTAAGCAACTGTTCAGAAGATGACGAACAGAAGCCGAACCTCTGTCGTATATGTGGCAAGACGTACGCTCGACCCAGCACGTTGAAGACCCACCTCCGCACTCACTCCGGTGAGAGACCGTACAGGTGTGGAGACTGCAACAAGAGCTTCTCTCAGGCTGCCAACCTGACGGCCCATGTCAGGACACATACTGGTCAGAAACCTTTTAGGTAAGAGATACTTAAACATATGGAAGAAAATTGTTGTGCCTTTATTAAATGTAGGAATTGCAAAAAGCGTATAACTGTGAAGATTTTTGTAAAATCTTATTTATGTTATCAAACTTAGGATCCGAGAAAAATGGTCTTACGGCTTCAATTATTGATATTGTCACTATCAGACCGATTCTGATAATAACTGCATGGTTTGTTCAAGGTGTCCCATTTGTGATCGTCGGTTCAGCCAAAGTTCCAGCGTCACGACTCACATGAGAACGCACTCGGGAGAAAGGCCGTATCAGTAAGTGCACTATTATTTTTAATGAAATATCCTTTTTTTCTAAAACTAAGTTGAATTTTGTTCTTTTTGAGTCAACGAGCAGACGGATTACCTGATGGTTAGCAATCGCTGTAGACTATGGACACTCACAACAGCAGACGCAATAACGCAAGCATTCTTTCCCGTCGGTTTTCTGTGAGGCCGGTGGTGTCATTCCGGTTTGAGCTAGTCGTCCTGAAGAACGGCACTCTCCTCATTGACTTAATATTAATATGAATTATTATGATCAACAGATGCAGATCTTGTAAGAAGGCGTTCTCGGATAGTTCTACTCTAACGAAACATTTACGCATACATTCGGGAGAGAAGCCGTACCAGTGCAAATTGTGTTTATTGAGGTAAGGAGTAGATAACTGGAATACGAGACAATTTATAAAGGATAAAGATCTAAGCATACATACGGACATACAGCGAAAGCGACTTTGTTTTATACTATGTATTGATTCTAATTTCTAAATATGTAGATGAAATTAATTTCGTTTAGTTTAACTTAGTAAAATTAGGTAGGTAAAGTAGTACACTGCACGGTTGGTGCGATGACTGGGCAACCGGCTGCGCCGTGCAGCGGGACGTGGGTTCGATTCCCGCACGGAACGACATTAAGTGTGACCCACAAATTTTTGTTTAGGATTTGGGCGTCATGTGTATGTGAATTTGTATGTCTGTAAACGCACCCACGGCATAGAAGAAAATTCTATTGTGGGATAACGTTTTAAAAAAAATTAGGTTACTGTCGAGAATTGACTTCAGAAAATGTTTCTACTGCATAATCCTCTGACCCTTCGCCCAATATGAAAATATTCAAAAGTTGCACTGCAATAATACCTACTTTACAAAAAATATCTGTTTCTCCGACAGGTTCTCCCAATCAGGCAACCTAAACCGCCACATGAGAGTCCACGGGAACATGTCAGGCGGGATGCTCGGCTGACACTTGCAGAGATGCGGCTTATCAGCCGTCTACTACTAATCAGGATTGCAGGAGACCAGATCCTCGTCTGAACTAATTCAAGCCAAAAAAGGACAATTAAAAAATGTGTTTTCGCTTATTAACTAAATGTGCTACGGACCAGCTTGTAAATTAATATGGCGATATGTATAGGAATTTTTGTTAGAGATAGTCCCAAAGAGCTTTTAGAAGAGTTGTAACGGTAACTCGAGTTCTCTAAAGTTAGTGCGTTGAGTAAACGAGACGCCAATATGCACTAACGTTAGTGAGCAAAAGGGACAGCAATATGCTCGTGACGTACTTCAGACCGGTCAATTAAAATGTCTGTCAATATATCTGCTCTCGAACTGGGCTGTCAAGTTGGAGATTGGGAAACCCTCTCTAGTAGAGGAGGCCAAATCTAGCAGAGTGGACTGTTAATGATGGTGATGCGTTAGTATGGGTCAAATGCCAAAAGACATTGATTATTATGACGCAGTTAATAAATAAGTGTAATGCTTGTAATAATTTTATTACACTCGCAATGTATTAAGTGTTTGTGAAAAAAAAACTGTACATAACGAATGCAATTTACTATCTTACCTTAAAATATGTGTAATTTACAGTTTAACTGAAAATCTAAAATCTGTATTGTGTTAGTAATTAGTATTACCAACCTATAAAATTAACTGATTTCATAGTTCTAATAATTTCTTGTATTATTATGAAGTGTTGACCATTTATTGTAAATATAACGAAATTATGTGAAAAAATATTTTGTACATAACTAACTAAAATAAGTTTGCTAGATTTAAGTAAATATGCCAACATTCCAGTATTAAAATATTCTAGTCATTATTAAATAGCACTTTTACCGATTAATGTTTTATTAAATAGATTTTTTCTGATTACTTTAAAAGCTGATGATTGTTGAATCAATTTTGCTGGTCCTTTGAATAAAAATGATTGAATTAAGTACATTATTGCACTTGTAAGTCATTTTATCAGTATTCAATCAAACTATTATTACCTGCGTAAGATATCTTTGTAAATTATACATTGAAATAAATCAATTATACGTAAATTATGTCTTATTTTTTATTTATCTAAGACTGAAATTGGGTAGTAGTGTAGTAGTTTACATTCATAATTTCAAAAGTTGCGCGCTACGCGCTCAGTATTTAACAGTGTTGCTAGTGTATTTTGTCATTTTCTACTACGAGTAACAAATGCGTTTTATTTGTTGTTGATCGTAAATTCTGGAAAAATAGTCTAAACAATAAAATAAAGGCATTATCTACTGATGATATACGTTATCAGATGGTATATAAGAATACTGCAATAAAACTGTAGAAAAGCGAATAATAGATGAAATTGCTCTAAAGACAAAATTGGAAAGTTTTTATGTACGATGGAGACACTAAACGAAATTTTTAGTTTGACACATCATGATATCTTTGAGAAATTGAGAGATTTCCTTGTCGGGATTAAAGTAATTCTTTAATTTACGTCTGTTACGGGTCAACCGGTGCTTTTTAGTTAAGATATTGTTATTACAGTTATTTACCTTGCCGCTGTCTGTGAGTGAGTCAGCGACAACCGTGTAAATATTTCATAAGGACACTAGAAATTGTTCCATCAGACATACCATTACATTTTGGTGGTCTAATTTGTTGATTTACTTCTAAATATGACTGAAACTTCACCGGACGAACCCAGTCCTAATCGCAAGGACTTTATTTGCGGGGTTGTTGAAGGTAATTATAGTTATTTTTATGTGAAAATGTGTGATGTAGTATATTGTAGTTATACATCTTGTCTTGTATCTAAGTTTATAATGGAGTGAATGACCTAAGCTTAACTATTCCAGGCTTTTACGGACGACCGTGGACTACGGAACAAAGGAAAGACTTGTTTCAAAAGTGAGTATTCATTATAATACCGTAAATAAGTGATTGATTATTAATTAGAAGTCAATACAATGTGATTTTCGTTTATTTATTCAATTACATTTTTGACACTTTGTCATTATGTTTGTAGTCTCAGTGGCATAGTAATATTTGTTTATTTGTTGAAATAAATACCATAATAACAGGTTTAGCAGTGAATCTTTGATTGTAGCCTGATAATTGTTTGCTAAATGATTAAAATCAGGTTTGAGTAAACAGGTCAGAAGTTGATGATCAGTTACTGAGGTTCTTGTTGGACTGTGTTGATTTTATTTACATTAATTTATTGATTTAATTAGGTATTTAGATAATGACTAGTTACACTGTCACTAAGAAGCATTGCACTTGATGTAATAGATAACATAACTAAACAATAATAAACTCTTTGATTTAATGTTATTATACATACTGGATAAGATTAGATTAGCCTGCAAGTTTATGTTATGTAAAATTATGCTGCTAACTTTCCATTTCTTTTCCTAGACTTGTGAACTCTGCGATAACTCTAAAATTTATTTTGAGAAAACAAAAATTTTGGATAATAATTAATAATTTTTTTATGTTGTAATGTGTCGAGTTTTGGTTAAATATATTTATATTAGGTACCTAGGCATTTTAAGTATGTCCACTATTACATTATTTTTTATACCACAACGTTCGCCCACCTCATGGTAATAGGTTACTGTGGCCTATGTATGCCTGCAACACTTGGGGAATTACATGCGTCTTGACAACCCCTAAGAAACCTTAAAACATTTTGATCGAAGCAACATGATGAGATCATGCATGACACGGATGTACAATATGTCATGGCCTTTAGTTTAGCTGTACAATTGAAATGTGAATCATATCCTATACCTGCTTTATGCTGCACACTTATATTCATTTTAACTCTTTGAGTACTGTCATTATAGACACAATTAAAGAACAATAGGTTGCGGTCACCGGTGTCCTTGCGGTGTTTGACAGTTTAAAGGTGTTAATATATTAAATGTTACATCTTATTAACATTTAATTTTGTTATCAATAATTTATTTTAAAAGTCATTTATTTTTATTCTTCTATTACTGTATTGGGAGGTCATTGCCCTCCAGTGGGACGATCATGGCTAAAAATAAATAAACAAATAATATTACTGCATACCATAAGTATATTATAAAAAAAACATTGAACCAAAAAAAAAACTTGCAAAATTGTTAACAGATTAAAAAAATGGGGCATGGACATGTATGTCTACGCTCCAAAGGACGACTACAAGCACCGAGCCTACTGGAGAGAGTTGTATACTGTGGAGGAGGCTGAACATCTGACCTCACTGATATCCGCTGCGAAGGCTCAGGGCATTATATTCTGTTACGCATTGTCTCCCGGACTGGATATTACGTACAGTAGTCAAAAGGAAATAACTACTTTGAAAAGGAAATTGGAACAGGTGAATATTATTGTTTATTATGATTCTTGTATTTTAGTGAAACTGATACTTTTACTTGAAGATACTAGTCATCTTTCTCATAAATAACGCATTTATCCTACAAATTGTTTCATATTTTGTACTGATGCTCGTTTGAGTATGGTTGTCACGGTGGCTGGATAATCAGCTGCCTGCCTGCATAGAGCAACTCTTTGTGTGATCCACAAATTGTTGTTTCAGGTCCAAATTTGAAACAATGTCATGTGTATGTAAAATTGTATGTTTGTTAACGCACCTACAACACAGGAGATAAATTTAGTGTGGGGCAATGTTTTTATAAAAAAAGGTTCAATACCTTAATAGATATTCATATATATTTGCAATGGACCTGCTTTTCTGTAGTTCTCATATTTACCACATTGTAATGTTAAATCCAAATTATTGAATACAATTCCTGGGAACTGGGAACAATATGTTACCTCAAGTAATCTTTTTGTGTTATAAATATTGATTTTTACTTTTAAGGTGTCCCAATTTGGCTGCACATGTTTCGCTCTCCTCTTCGATGACATTGAGCCGGAAATGAGTGAGGCAGATAAACAGATCTTCCAGAGCTTTGCACACGCTCAAGTAAGTAATTTAACTTTAGGAAATGTAAGTTTCTAGAATACAATTTCTCAATAAAATATGGCCTTATAAAAAACTGCTGTTTGTAGGCCAAGTCGACCATTGGACAAGAGACATCTAGTTTGTCTACTGATCCGACAGATGGAGACATAAATTTTTTTTTCATCAGTTCTAGTAGTTAATATAATGGATTTATTGCAGTTTAATATTCGCTTATTATTTTTAAGCTCATTACCGAGTTGTAGTTAGTCATTTATACGGTAGGCCAGTACTATTGGCCTTCGTTAAGTACAAGCATGCCTGACTGAACATTGTAATGCCTAGATTACTTTATTTACCATCGGATTGTCTGGTAAATGAAAATCTGTTACACAATATTATTTTTAGTATATTCTGTCTTTGATTCGGCCGTCTCTGGTAGAATTCATAACATAACATCACGCCTTTTATCCCCAAAGGGATAGGCAGAGATGCACATTATGCCACTGTATAATGTAACACCCACTTTTCACTATTTATTTATTTGCCTATTGCTATATACCGGGTACAATTCCAGACTCCGTGCTACTACTGAGATTTTTTTTTTAAACCCAGTAATTATTTGCCCGACCCGGGAATCGAACCCAAGACCCCTTGCCCTGCAGTCGCAAAAATTCAATTGAAAATTAGTTTTTTTTTTTAAGGGGGGAAAATCATCGAATGACTGCCCCCGCCTGGGTGAGGCGGGATGGAGTGTCAGACTCTTACTGACTAAAAACCACCCCGTTCCTTCTCCTGCACGTCGAGCCGGAGCCCCGGTTACCCGTTAGGTTCTCCGCGACTCCGAATCGGCATCGGCCCTATTGGGCCCCATCTGTGGTGGTCTGATGGCTCTTTGAGGCGCGCGCGGAACGCGACGCGCCGTACGCTCGGGTCTGTTTCTGGTCGGACGGGGAGCCACCCATGCTCGCCGTCCGCAGGCCCGCGCTTACGGTGGCCGGAGATCGTCCCGCGATCCCCGACGCCCGGTGTGTCCTTCGCGATGGCTGGGTTGCGAGGACGCGTCCCGCCTCCTCCTTAGCTAGCATGACTGCTTCGCAAAAGGAGGAGACGGCATCCCAATCCCCCTCGCTCCGCATCATGGCCTGCACTAGGCCCGGACGCGAGAGGTCGCCATCGCCGATCACTTCCCTGAGGACACGGCGGTGCTCAGCCCACGAAGGGCATTCTCCCACCGTGTGTTCCACCGTGTCCTCAGGGCGGTCCTCGCAGTGATGACACCCGGGCGTTTCCTCCCGCCCCATCAGACACAGGTACCTCCCGAAACTGCCATGTCCGGTGAGGACCTAAATAGTCGTGCTTACGATGGTAAAATTATATCTTTATACATTTATTTTTATGAGATAATCCGGTAAACGAGCAGATGAATGATGGCTAAACCTGATGGTAAGCATTCAGCGCCGCTCATGGACACTCGAAACACCAGAGTCGTTAAGAGCGTTACCGGCAACAAAAGGCCCTGGGCCTTTTGAAGATTATGAATTTGAGGGTTGTTGGGAATTGGGCTTCCGGTAACCTCACACGACGAAACACAATGCAAGCGTTGTTTCACGTCGGTTTTCTGTTCGGCCGTGGTATCACTCCGGTCGAGCCGGCCCATTCGTGCCGAACCATGGCTCTTCCACACATTAAAAACAAGGTACCCGCCAGGGTGCTTACTCTTGAAACCAATCTCAATGTCAATGCAATTTCAATCCAATAAAATCTCAATAATTATTCAATGTCAAAATTATACAACCCCTATCGTAGCTATTAAAATAGCATTCAGAGTACGGAATACAAAGCCAAACTCAATACCATTTAGTTCATAAAATATTCACGCAATATGAATGCAATAGGCGCTAGTATTGCAACTCGAGAGCTCGGAAATTTCACAATACCAATGTCGATCGATCGGAATTGGATTCAAAAGTAAGCCCACAGGTCTGTCTGTTAACTATGAATTCAAAAACTGCTACACGATTTTTTACGACGTTCTCCGCTGTTTAGCGGTGTACACCGAGGCTCTTAAACTGTCAAACACCGCGAGGACACCGGTGACCGCAAGCTATTGTTGTTTAATTGTGTCTATAATGATGGTACTTAAAGAGCTAATGATGGTAACTGTTGACATGGTTCTCTTAACCCCCAGGTGTCAGTAACGAACGAGATCCACCAGCACCTTGGCTGCCCCCGCTTCCTCCTGTGTCCGACGCAGTATTGTTCGACGCGCGCGGTGCCCACCGTCAACAGCTCGGAGTATCTGAACACGCTCGGCACTAAACTCTCGCAGCAGATCGATATTATGTGGACTGGTATGTTGGCTTGCTTATGTGCACCAACAGTTTATATAATTTTACTCAGTTGGTCAATTGGTTGCAAGCGCATCAGACGTTTTGATATTGTACTATGAGTTCGTATGCGCTTTTGAAGTTCGCTTTCAACCGTTATTTTTTGTTTTAAACATTTTATTTGTTTGTAAAGCTACTCTATTACCAAGACAGAATCATTTTCCTTTGGGACGAAATGAATAGAGTTCACGGTGTATAATCAGTAAGCATATCAGCCTACCCTTATTTATATCCTTATCCTTATCCTTATCCTTACTAATATTATAAATCTGAAAGTGAGTTTGTTTGTTTGTTTCTTTGTTTGTTTGTTCCACCTTCACGCCGTAACTACTTAACCGATTGCTTTGAATTTTTGCAGACGTAAAGTTAGAAGTCCGGATTAAATAATAGGGTACTTTTTAACCCGGAAAAAAATGATATTCCCGAGGAAAAACAAAAGTATTGGTATAGATGGCGCTGTGTGTATTGGTATATGTCACATAGGCTACTTTTTATTCTTTTGTAATGCGAGCGAAGCCGCGGGTATAAGCTAGTAGGAAAATATGTTACGAAGAATCCCGTGAGCTGAATAACACCATAGTAAACAAATAATATTTAATAACCACATCATCGCTAATGGAATGGAAAAGGCCGACATGTATTAACATGTTTAGCATGCGATATTTAATTTGTTTTATGAGGTGACGTCATCAACCATTGAGACGTGATGAACTGACCGCTAGATAGCCGTTTTTAACTTGATTGTTTGACTTTCAATAGTTTGTTTTGGTGTTATTCACGTTAATAATTTGACTTCGATGGAATGTAAAATTATCATTATTTACATTAAAGAGGATGGCGGTAGCTATATCAATAATAATAATCGGGTACTTGCCAACTAGCCAAATTCAATACTTTTTTCAAACTATCAAAAACGACAGTTTTCTATGAATTTTATAGGAGATTGTGTATAGTGACGTCACATTTTTATAGCCTCAAACAGCATACTTATTTCTTATTAAATATTTGCTGGAAAAATACCAAAATTAAGTTGGTCATAAAATCAGTTAATGAAAGTGTGATTATTTTTAAATATTTTATTGTATTCAACAGTCGAAATAATTTATTTTTGATTAAGACAAATACCCAATTATATTATGTTATTTAATTAAAGCTCTTTATCGTCATACTAAGACATTTACCTTATCTACTAAATGTCTATAAGGACTATTTAAGGAGTTCTTAGACCTCATTCTTCTTATTAATCCTACAAGCTTGACAGTAGACTCTATAGTAACCAGACCAGTGAATAGTAGTATTCCTCGCTCACTCCTCGATTGAGCTCCAGCTGTATGTAGCCGATTTTTTATAAGATCCATCCATCTTTTTGGCGACGGATCACAAGCGTTTGCCCACTATTCTGCCTAGCACTAGCACCACCAATCGGTCCATTAAGTCCTTATACGATGATAATAATGTTATGAACTTTGGTTTAGTAATTTCTCCATATTTATTCTATCTTTAATATTAATTATTCTACAAACTGTTAATCTATTTGTTGAATAAAACTCTCTATCAATGTTTTACTTCTTGCCTGCCGCTAGACGAGACAAAATCTTATCTTATACTATTATATAAAGCGGAAGTAAAGTTTATTTTTTTGTTTGTTTGTTCGAACGCGCTAATCTCCGTAAGTACAATTCTGATTTGAATAATTATTTTTGTGTTGGATAGCGCATTTATCGAGGATGGCTATAGGTTATAAAACATCACGCTACGACCAATAGAAGCTGAGCAGAGCGTGTGAAACCGCGCAGAAGTAGCTAGTAGAAAATAAATAGTGTGTAGTGTATAGATCTATGTTCTGGATACAAAGGTTAAATGTTTCATTCGTTCAGTCTAGCTTTCCATTGACTCATCGTTATTGTAATGTTTAATTTACGACATAGCTGACTACACGCGTCTAATTTTCTATTGTTTTTGTCTAAGGTCAATAAACTTTGGCCATTTTATGACTTTATATAAATGGATACAAATATGTAGAATTAATGTGCGCAGTTTTTAATGGCGCATTCTTAGAAAGACTTGGAATTTTATGATCTGGTTATCTACCTATGAAAATGTAAATGAGCAAAATGATTCGCCAACAATTTGTACACAAAATAATTCGCCAACAAGTTGTACCATGTACGCTTGATCACTGATAATATAGAAATCGGGATAAAATTGGTGAATAGCGGAATTTTTCTTTGCTAAATAATTAAAAATAAACCTATTAAAAAAATGTAATACAATTGGGTAGTTAGAGTAGGTTTAAAATAAATTGTTTCAACTCTTCAATGCAATAAATAATTAAAAAATAATCATACTCTCATCCATTGATTTGACAATTTACCTACTTTTGGATTTTATCTCGCTAATTTTAAGGAAATAAGTATGCTATTTGACGCAGAAATATGATGAGTATGATGACGTTTTAAGTTGCGATCCAATACAAAATTCATAGAAAAGTATCGTTTTTTGACATTTTAATAAAAGTATTGAATTTGACTACCTGTCAACTAGCGTATTTCAATCACTGTACTTGATGGTGGTGGTAAGAAAACCATAATTTCACATTAAACAATACTTGCGATATACTATTTTTAATAGTTTTTTTTAATAAATATTTATTTCAGATAATTATTTAATATTAAGCTTCAAAGTCCGAGTGAATAAGTGGGTAGGCGTACTCTATCATAGGCCATATATTATCTCTTACGTTTAGGCGAGATAGTAGAACAAGTAGAAAAGAGTCCATTGTGAATAAAAATGTAAAATAGGCCCCTTTCTTCTCCAGGTCCCAAAGTGATATCCAAAGTCCTAACAACGGAGGCGATAGAGGAGATCACACAGGTGCTACGGAGACCACCTGTCATCTGGGACAACCTACATGCCAACGATTATGACCAGAAACGAATCTTTTTGGGTAAGTCCCGTCGTTAAAATTGAATGGTATCTAATAATATGGAGAGTAATAGATAATAGTAGAAGTATCAATTTTATTTATTGTAAATTTTCTCATTGGCAGTGGCGTAACTATAACATTCGAGGCCCGTGGAAAATTCATCGGATAGTGTCCCATTCCCAATAAAAAAAAAGAATTGAAATGAAATCCTCTAAATGCCCCTTCCAGCTCGGGGCTCGTAGCATTTTGCCGACTGTAGTTACGCCACTGCTCATTGGTGTTGCCCGTGTACCTACTTCTAGAAGTGCCACAACTAAAAATGTGTTCTCCTAGTACCATTATGTTGTCTAGTAGTAGTACTAGTAGTACCACTAAAAATGTGGAGTTAACGGGTTACCGGGGCCTCGAAGAGCAAGAGTAGGAACGGTATAGTTTTTAGTCAGTAAGAGTACAGCCACATTGTCTCTCGTCTCAACCGAGACGGGAGAAGTCATTGGATGATTTTTCCCTCACAAAAAAAATCTGCTCTTTATGCCTGTAACGGGATTGTAAAGGTAAACTATACTACATTATAGGCTTACGCAAATTGGTTCATGAAAAATGTACTATCCATAAAATACGTCTACCTTTAACTCATACACAATCAACTGATATAAATTCCCAAAATTTGTTCATACAAAAGTAGTCTCTAAACATCGGAAATAAGTTTTATAATGGAGTTAGTGGAGAGCGGTCACTTGTGACCATTTTCCGTTTTTAGAGAGGTAGGTGATTTCTTAATAGAATATGTATTATTTCAACAGGTCCATATTGCGGTCGTTCTCCCGAGTTGATCCCGCTACTTCGCGGTGTACTAACAAACCCGAACTGCGAGTACAACGCCAACATGATCCCGATCTGGACGCTCGCGCACTGGGCCAGCTGCAGTCTGGATGCTCCTGCGCATAGTCAGTATATCACTTTATAGTTTGTTGTTTTAAAAGAGTGGTTTTGTTGTTATACAATAGGGTAGTAGACAGTGTATGAAAATTAAAAATATAATTAGTTCGTCAGTTAGATAATGCACTATTAAACACATTTTTTTATTTTGTCGTATAAGATATACATATATATAATATATAAATATAAATACTTAGAAAAAACGGAGTTAAGTTTAGGAGTGGAAGGTCGGTACGTCAAGCTACCCTAATGTAGTAAATCGTGACGTCACACGATATTTCCAATCGTATAATCGTGATATATAGTCGAAAGTATTTAATATTGTGAGAACATTAAAAATACATGTCTAATGTTTTAAAATGATCTACCAGACGGACAATAAATAAATTTTAGGAAACTACCCTATTGTATTATTTTGTTTTAAGATCATAAGATGTCGTTGCTAATAGATTTAGTTCCAAATTGCTTAGTAGCTATCGGATATTGAGTACTTTTTGTAGACTGAAAATGGAATGTTTTAAATAACTTATATAGCAAGCTTGATTATTGTTCTAGCTCTCACACCGAAAGCACAAAGCCACAGATATATTGCTATACTCATAATTTTTTAGTTTTATTTCAGTAATTATGTCGATTTGTAAGTATTTTATTCGAAAATGTAAAAGAGATTTTTTCATTATAGTGGAAGCTGTTTCCTGGGACATCAAATTAGAAAGAGAGAGCGAGCAAGGCGTGTGTGAAGACGAAGCACCTCTCACTCTAGGCAAACACGTTTATCATCATCGACAAGCTCTGAGGTAAGACAAGTAGGAAAACAAACATTTCTTTCAAAGATTCTGTTATGAATATCGTCCTTGAAAGTCATCGTTGAAATTTTTTTATTTTTAACTTTTTTAGTCCTTACAATGTTGTTTCTTTTTACAGACAAGCGATCAACGAATGGCTACCAGAGTTTTCCATTCCAAAGTCTGCTACAGGTCCCGTGATTAAACCACAGCCTACTATCACAGGTACGTTAACTTTTCCGACCTTAGTGAAGCATTTGATATAGTCTATATATTTTTATTACAGAAAAGTTAATTTGTCACTATTTGAATATTATTCTCATATTTTGGTTGCTTATTTTAATGTTCTACAGTATCTGTTTTTGCAAAAAAACAAATTGAAATACATGAAACGCAAGCGTAGTACAGGTGTTCCCCAGGGCTCAACATTAGGTCCAATGTATTTTACTTGTTAGATTACCAAAAAATTGTTTTATTGAAATTGAACAAAAGAGGTACAGAAACTAACATGAAGTACATTTTGTCCTCAGTACCACCAGTGCCGATCATCCCGATCCTGCCATCAGTGAACACGTGCATGTCTCTGGTGACGGCCACCAGCAATACTTCGACCACCAGCACGGCGGACATGGCCCCCGCCATACCCACCGTCAATACTTCGCAATTACAAGCACTCGCTGATGGATGCTCGGCGGCTAATGATCGCCCTATACTGTCTACTAGGGTAACTATAGATAAATATATATAGAATACAAACATAAGACTGCACGGTTGGCGCGGTGACTGGACAACCGGCTGCCACGTAACGTGTCGCGGGTTCGATTCCCGCTCGATGTGATCCACAGATTGTTTTTCCGGGTCTGGATGTCATGTGTATGTGAACTTGTATGTTTGTGAACGCACCCACGACACAGGATAAAGTGAAATTGTAGTGTGAGGCCACGTTTAACAAAAATAAATACAAACGCATTTATGCTATCACTCCGATCGAGCCGGCTCTTTCGTGCCCAAGCATGGCTCTACCACATTTTTTATAATAAAACACACTGGTTTTTGTAATTAACATGGACTAGGCCTCGTTGGTTGCGAGATTAACTGCTTCCAAAGTATTGCTGTGGCTAAAATTTTAAACCATTTTCGTAAGTTCATACAGAGTTCAGTCTTTATGTCTGGTATGGTTATGAAATACTTAACAGGCAAAAAGAAACTAATGACATCTATTATATCTACCCCTTTTAAACGAAGAACTCATTTTAACAGTAAAAAAATGTTCCACAGGTATCACCAATCGAAACATTCAACCCCGTACCGAACCCAGTAATGAACTCCCTAGTATCCCCAACAAAAGTTATCCTAAACGAATCTATCCCCAATCCGATAATCCCCATAGCGAGTTCAAACATATCATTACCTTCGGAAATTCCCGTTTCGACCCTCCCCGTCCCAATCCTAGGTTTGAAAGCGTTGGAAGGGAGTGAGAACAAGAATAATCATGAAATGGATAAATCAGATAATAGTAATGATACATTACTAACGGATAGTATATTGGAGACCAGCTTTGACATGAAGAAAGATAAGGAGGGAGAGGATGGTGACCAGATCATTGTTGATGACTTGGACCCTCCTGCGGAACAGAGGAACGGGGAAATGAGTGTCGGTGGTGAGTTTGTATTCGTCTTAAATAAAATTATTATTATGTCCTCTTATGTTGGATGTCAATAAGATTAAGAATGGTCCTTGTAATCTTAAGATTATCCTTGTCGCTGTGTGTTAACGGCAGAATAAAATTGATTATGTCACCACCTGTACTTCCTTAGGTATCGTAAGTACCAACATTCCATGATGGCTCTCACTAATATCACTAAAGACCGATTTTTCCAACGCTAGATATATTTTAACAGACGAATAACTTTGAACAATTGACAATTCTATAATAACTATCGTGAGACATACTTAATTAACTCGTCGAGTACCGGTTTTGTAGACACAATTATAGAACAATAGGTTGCGGTCACCGGTGACCGCTTGGTGTTTGACAGTTTAACTAAAATCGCGGGTTACTCACATGAATATACTGAGGACAACTCTACTAGTTTCGAACCACAGAGGGGTTCTTCCTCATGAGCGGCGTGCGCGGTCGCGGCGACGTCGTGCAGCTCACTGGAGTACTCAGTGGAGGAAACTAGTAGAGCTTTTCTCAGTATATTCACGTGAGTGACCCGCGATTTTAGTTAATTTGACAATTCCTCCATACGAAAAAATGTCAAATGACAATTTTATTCTACATTTCCATTTTCATATTCCTTTTAAAATGCCTTCTACAAGTCGAGGCGATTATGATAAACCCTCTCATGTAGACGATGCTCATAGTTCAATAGTGAACTGTAACTAACTTGTTCTTTTTACTGACCCAAATCTGATAAGAAACGCAGTATTTATTAGTTTTTTAATTGGTGTTGTTTAGTCGAACTTCTGTCTTCTCTTGTCCAGACACACCTCAAACATTAAGTCCGAGTCGTAACACTGAGCCCGGAGTGGAGCCGCTCGATGTAGATCCTCCGTCCACTGCTGCCACTGATCCTGACGTCATCATGAACGATGGAATGAGTGAGGTAAGTTGATTTGAGTAGAGAGGGAAAGGAACAGAGGTTGTTTTTAGTGCGATTGTTGTCAAAATGTTACTATTATAGAAGTTTTATTAGTAAGAACAATAAGTCCGCTGTTTAGTTTTTTTTTTTTTTAATAATCAGGGCGGATAATCGTCCTATGACTTCTCCTGGGTTAGGCGAGAGGGAGTGTCAGAGAGGAGTCATAAAAAGGGCTTATTTGTTTCAAGTTATTTGCGAAAAATATTTAGAAATCATTATAAACATTATATAATTATTGGAAGCGTTTTACCTACCAATAAAACGCATATTAATTTACTTACCTTATTCGAAGCTTATTTAATTGAGATAGGCCTTCCGCTTCCCTCCTTCCGCTTTTCCTGTATGTCTATCTCTTTCTACTACGTCACTTCCATTTGGCAGTGGTGGGGAGGCTTGCTAAGAGAGACTCGCCATTTTTATTTCATTGAGTCTCATTACCAGGCAGAGCTTGACTATAAGCTTCGAATAAGGTAAGTAAATTAATATGCGTTTTATTGGTAGGTAAAACGCTTCCATTAATTTGACTTGACCGTTATTCGAAGCTTATTTAATTGAGACGTGTTTGTTATCGCCTGGTGGAAGTGACAGACGCCAATGTGAGGTAGTATGACTGCGTTGACCGCAGTCGTACTACCTGGTATGATGTGGTAAAATCACAGAATAGAAAAACTAAGAAAAATAGCAAATATCTAAAAACATATACATGTTTTGATGAAAGGTATTGAATAGAAAACCTGTTATTTTTAATTTTTTCAATAATAATTGTATTTGATCTGAACAAAAACAGATGTTATATATTTCTGAGGTATTTTATTGCCTCGTTTCTAATTTTCTAATCGTCTGTATTGAATAAAAAGGTGACATACAAAGGCACACACATCTTAGAAAGGATCGCCTCAAAAGGATAACTATCCACTAAATTTTTTCAGATCACAGCTGATCTGAAACCCTCAGGATATCTTGGGGGATTACTGATATCTTAATATCGGTTACCACCAAGAAGGAACTTTATCCTGACCGCAATTAAATTTTTCTATGTCGGTTTAAGAAATTTGCATTATTTTCAAAATTGACACATAACATCACAGCTTACGCCATTAAGTTATGCCTCTTATGGTATGCTTAGTCCATTGGACTGGATCTGAGCTTTAGAAATTTGGTATACAGGCTGGGTATGGGCCGACTTCGGTGATATATCCCGATTAAATGCTCCCATGGTAGAAATACACGGGCAAAGTCGTGCGTGAAAGCTAATTTATTATTATCCATTTAATCAACAGAATCAGTTTTTGATCTAAAAGCCGACCGAAAAACTAGTACGTCTACGTCATTATGATTATGGTAATTATTAGTATCAATATCGAGGAAAGTTAGGTCATGGAATCTTTTCCTGGAGTATAGGAGAAATGGAACAGCTGTTTGTCTCTGCACTTGAAAGACTATTAATAAGTTTACTGTCTAAGAATCTAGCTAGATCGTTTATGACCCAAACAGGGGGATTGACATGATCAATCACCATTTACAACATGTTTTACACAGTCAGTTAATCTCAAATATAAGTACCTAACTGATGTGTTAGTTCATAAGTTAAATTAATGTTACTGATTGTATAGTTTTTAACAATACATGCTAAACGACATATGGTTCTGGTTAACAAAGGACAGCAACCACAGATTTTTGTGACAAATTTTAATTGTACGACAAATTATTGATTCAATAGAGATCCGATATAGATAAAAATGTAGTCAAAAGTCTTGCTATAGGAGCTGAGGGTCCCCCCCCCCCCCGGTGCGGTGCAACCTTTTGAGGACTGCACTATAGATTTAACGTATTGACGGACGCCATGATTTCTTAAGAGATTTCAATTGTATAGAATATCATTTTAATAGTATTCCAGACATCTCACGTTTCCACACTTCCAAGGTCATGTCGTAGACGCTCGGTGGTGGCCGCCTTGTTCTTAATTAGGACTTTGTCTAGGTGATAAAGCGTAAAGAAGCGGGGTACTATGGCAAGCGAGACACGCCAAAAAACTCGCCCTCATTAAGGAACTACTAGTAGGCACGTTCTGTGTGCTTGATTGAAATAATCCAGGACCTAAGAAATCAAAAAGCTTGGAGAGAACTCCCCCGCTGGGTTTAAAACATTTCCATATGTGGAAAAAACGCGTCGCCAAACAGGGCTTGTCCGTAGTTTTGATATAAAGGCACGTAAATGTCACTACATGTACTCGGTATGACGCAAATAAGTTGATCAGTGGAACTTCGCATATGGAGACCATTTGGTTTGTGCATTCTGCTGACAGCTGGTGCTCTCTAAAGTTTCACAAACCTCAACAGATGATCTGCCTTGACATTGTACATTATATATCTGGTACATGAAATACGTGTATGTTAACGCATATGAACGTATAATGGGAAACGGAGGTTTAAATCCAGGAGTGGAGCCACTTGGTGCCCCCCCCCCTTTTGTAACGGATATATGCGATAGACTTGATGTCGTCCTATATCAAACCAGTCTATTTCAGGATTGGCTACTATGACGATCTTTCTCGTGCTCTGACCAGAGACCCAGGAGAAAGAGATTGCCCAGGTAAGCTCCCTTAGCAATATCTGACACATTGTGCAAGCTGCTGGGAATGAGAAGGTAGAAGTAGCATGTGTAGGACCGACAGAAGATGATAATTCTGGCTCCTCCCACACAAGATTGTTCACATGAGGTAAAATGAAGACCCATCTGCGATCGCCCTTTAAGATTTTATTCTTGTAGGTTCAGAAACGCTTGAAAGTAGAGTCTTTTTCTTGACTAGAGTCTTGAAACTGCAGAAGCAGCAAATATAACTAGGCTCTGGAGTTCTGTGCGTGACTTGCATTTCTTCCGCATTAAATGGCAAAATGACCCCAGAAATTTTACTACCGGGAAAATGTTTGTGATTTGACCATGGATCCCTGGCTTAATGACTTTTGTGTAAATAGCCAAACCAACTTTTCTAGAACATGGAGCCCAATTTTCATACGAAGTCCGAAGTTGGCCTTCGTCCTGATGGCAATAAAAAATCCCGACACCTCATTGTCCCAGTGTCTGGGAAAATCGTAGCAAAAGTATTGGGCGCTGCGCTCATGCCTAATGATAAGCAAGTCATTCGTAGCAATTCGTTGCGATAATTTAGGCACATAAACCTTCCGTGGCTACGGGCCACAGAAAAATAACTCTACGCCTGAGAAATGTCGATTTTGCATAGACAATCAGGTTGTAGAAAATGTGAAATACTATGTGTTTTAACACGTATGTGCATTAACGAATCGGTCAGATGATACATAAATTCTGAATTTCCAAATGGACGATGCGGTCGCCCTTGGACCAGAAATATCAATGGTAGGAAGCTTGGCTGCTCAGTAGCTCGGTCCGTAACTACCTGTTCTGTTATTTTGTTCATGACTGATGTCATTTCTGAACAGAGTGTCAGAGATTCTAGAACAGATGTTTGATGAACAGATGTTCCAGTTCAACAAGTTCGTTCCGACAACATTGGGGTGAACCAGGGTCAGTTTTTGTAAAAAGGGTATGCGATACCTTTTTATTATCATAATCTGACGTTCACAAGTTCCCATCGGTCTACCAATTGCAGGAGACTGTCCGCTCTGTTGTTAATACTTACGTCGTTTGTTGTCAATGCTGCAGCATCAATGACGGGGCGATGATACACGTCTTCGCTCCTGACTTGGCTAATTTTATTCTGCCGAGGATTTGACCAACTCCGACAGATATTCCAATTTTTCGGTGCGACCGAAATATATAAAAACAGCATGAATATGATATAACCACCTTGCGGAGGCGGGTTTATTGCTGTTGTCACCACCTTGCGGAGGCGGGTTTATTGCCGTTGTCACCACCTTGCGGAGGCGGGTTTATTGCCGTTGTCACCACCTTGCGGAGGCGGGTTTATTGCCGTTGTCACCACCTTGCGGAGGCGGGTTTATTGCCGTTGTCACCACCTTGCGGAGGCGGGTTTATTGCCGTTGTCACCACCTTGCGGAGGCGGGTTTATTGCCGTTGTCACCACCTTGCGGAGGCGGGTTTATTGCCGTTGTCACCACCTTGCGGAGGCGGGTTTATTGCCGTTGTCACCACCTTGCGGAGGCGGGTTTATTGCCGTTGTCACCACCTTGCGGAGGCGGGTTTATTGCCGTTGTCACCACCTTGCGGAGGCGGGTTTATTGCCGTTGTCACCACCTTGCGGAGGCGGGTTTATTGCCGTTGTCACCACCTTGCGGAGGCGGGTTTATTGCCGTTGTCACCACCTTGCGGAGGCGGGTTTATTGCCGTTGTCACCACCTTGCGGAGGTGGGTTTATTGCCGTTGTCACCACCTTGCGGAGGCGGGTTTATTGCCGTTGTCACCACCTTGCGGAGGTGGGTTTATTGCCGTTGTCACCACCTTGCGGAGGTGGGTTTATTGCCGTTGTCACCACCTTGCGGAGGCGGGTTTATTGCTGTTGTCACCACCTTGCGGAGGCGGGTTTATTGCCGTTGTCACCACCTTGCGGAGGCGGGTTTATTGCCGTTGTCACCACCTTGCGGAGGCGGGTTTATTGCCGTTGTCACCACCTTGCGGAGGTGGGTTTATTGCCGTTGTCACCACCTTGCGGAGGCGGGTTTATTGCCGTTGTCACCACCTTGCGGAGGTGGGTTTATTGCCGTTGTCACCACCTTGCGGAGGCGGGTTTATTGCCGTTGTCACCACCTTGCGGAGGTGGGTTTATTGCCGTTGTCACCACCTTGCGGAGGCGGGTTTATTGCCGTTGTCACCACCTTGCGGAGGTGGGTTTATTGCCGTTGTCACCACCTTGCGGAGGCGGGTTTATTGCTGTTGTCACCACCTTGCGGAGGTGAGATACTGCTAGCACATTGCGAATGTGTATTAATGTGTTGGAAACCTTGAGCAAAAACCCTGCGAGGGCTTTGTAAGGCTGTGGCCCCTGCGACGGGCCTCGAAACTTTTGGATCTACCTGCGAGGTAGATGTAATATTTACCTTTTGCAATGGCCAAAAACATTTTCTCACGCCACCAGCTTATTCTACAGCGGCAGTAAACCTCTATGCGCTCTTAGTATTAGGAGAATCTCAGAACGATGTCCGCAAACAATCTGTAATAAAGCTTAAGACTAGGTACTTACTAAAATCCCCTGTGGAAAAAGGGTACTTTTGAAGTAGCATATCACATGTAGCAGTTAGCAGTTTGAAGGGTTCCGAAAATCCCGTGTTAAAGTGCACACAATATTCAATCAAGTATACCATTAACTTTAAACTCAAACTTAATATCAAAGCAACAAAATATATAATAGGAACGCACTTCGGTTCTATATTTGCATAGTCATCTCACTTTTGCAAGATAATTAGGTACAACAGACAAATAACTGTGCAATATTATTAACAGTCGAACAGAACCTTCGTTCTTTGTTCGTATAGTGGTACAAATCCACCCGATTTTCTGAGCAATAGCTATAGCATAGGGTATCGCGTCAGCAATTCCACGTATGCAATATACAGTCCAAGACTGTACCGAATTAACCAACAGTTCTGTTGGGAGCACAGCTCTTGAGTTTTATCCGAAGACACACTTTGATAGACATACAATTTCAAAACAATTTATCAGGTCATCAACATCAAAATAATATTCTTATAAATTTTCAATAACATTAGACAGAAATGCATGGTCCAAAATGGTACTCACGTACAAACAATCTATTGCTAAAGGTTACGTACCTGTTTAGATAGTTTTCGAAACTTACGTTTAGATCGACACTTCCATACGAAGAAGTGTTCAGGAACAACATGAATAATCGCAATTATTACCTGAATTTTCCATAATAGATAACGAAAGAATAATCTTTATTTAATTTAAAATTTTTACAATTGTAATAAAAGCCGTTAGGACATTTATCACTTTTATAAAAAAGAAATAATAATAAAATCGGAAGGTAGTTTCACAACTTGTGAATGGTTGTCTTGTGACTCACAAGGCACAACCGTTTACGGCGGGAAACAAGACGCCAATGAAATAAAAATGGCGAGTCTCTCTTAGCAAGCCTCCCCACCACTGCCAAATGGAAGTGACGTAGTAGAAAGAGATAGACATACAGGAAAAGCGGAAGGAGGGAAGCGGAAGGCCTATCTCAATTAAATAAGCTTCGAATAACGGTCAAGTCAAATTAATATAAATATTATTTCATGAGATAATAAAATTGACTGC